CGTCATGTGGCATATTTCATTGATCATTCCACCCCACCACTTTCTAAGGTAAGGTAGTCATAGGAACTGTTCTAGTTCCTGTTGATGCCTAAAATCTCCAATGATACCTAGTACCTTCATAATAACAAGACAAGAGAGTATTTAGATTTCAACACTTTTAGCTTGATAGTTCACCTCTTCTCTATATCCATGCCTCTAGTATTCTTACATCTTTCGCCCCCCGAAACCTGCTCATTTGATGTCAGCATACACTATATCCAGAGTAACACCTGACTGGATCACTGCGCACCCCCGCATTCATATTTATTACTGCCCTGTGATACTATCTACTGACAAGCTAAATCTAAGCCATCGCCGCACTGACTCATAGTCAGATCTATCTTAAGGTCCGGTTGGAAAGACCTAAAGACTATCAAATCATTTGTCAACAAGGCTCATCACTACCCCCATTCTCCCCCTCCATACACCATCGAGCCATMAGATTCCCAGTCATAATAAGGGAGAACTGACTGTCAAGTACCCAGTGGCTGGGAGTTTTATTGCTATCTGAGTCATATCTGTCCATTGCCACCTTAGACAAAGGAAGCGGCCCTGACAAATCACCTTTCACGTGTGTTTTGCCAACATTAGGTTGACGGTCACCTTTCTATTGACTTCTACTAACACTCTCGCATCAGCCTTCATCATCAATTGCCTTTCAAGGCATTATATCTCCAACAAACCTAAAGTCATATCTAATATCACTATTCTTCACTTCCCGTTCCAACCCAGCTCGTTTTTGCTCTCCTGAGTCCCATCTTTATCATTAGAATGAACCCGTATACACCCCCAACGGCGTTGGACCAAAATCATAACCTCACCATGAGTCGCCTACCGTCTGTTTCCAGTCTCATGTCACCTCCTGAATCTAAACCGTTCGAGAATTTCAATACCTCTTTGTCACCTTACTCGACGTCACAGGATTATTGCTCGTTTGTCCATGGCATGAAACTTCCCCCCATTTCTAGCGAACGGAAGCGAACGCAATCAGAAATGGATTTGCCATCGCCGCCCGTCACCCCGTACACCGGAAATAAGAAAAGAAAATCGGATGTCTCAGAGGAAATCGAGCGAGATGTCGCGCTCGGTTCCTCGAGAGATCCTGTCCTGTTCCCTCATCACGATTCTTTGACAGATGTTGCCACTGATGAGCCCTTGTTTGGGCAAATTCTGCCGGCCCCAGCAGAGGTTCTAATGGAACAACATATCGATTCTCACATGGCAAGATTTGATAACAAAGTGAATAAGCCAACACGTGATGAGTATCTCTTAGCGCTGTCCTGTGTGCCAGTCGTTTCTGCCCAGTATAACCGGAATCCTGCTGCCTGGGCAAAGGAGGAACGTGAAACACTTGAGCGTCAATTGTTCATGATGAATCGTCGCCGACCTAAAATTTTAGATGCAAAATTAAAGAAGATTGCGCCTGCACCGAGCAAACGGGCGGTTACCACGCAGCCTCGCGCACAGCGAACACCGCGGGCCAAGCGTTCCCCCAAATCCACGCCGCAACAAAAGGCGCATGAATCCTTTGACTTACCTGCTCAGACGAGTACTAGGCCTCCCAGGGCCATAGGAACAAATCGGGATGACACAGATTATGCTTCCATCAAAGATTTCTCACCCTCACCAGAAACACTTGGAGGCAATGCAAAGGCATTGAAGGCAGACTGGAAAGGACAGATGTTAGATCTTAGCCAGGATCCAGACCGGCACCTTTTGAGCCCGGCTGAGCTCAGCCTTGCCTCCACTTTGAGGCTCACATGCGCAACATACTTATGCAGCAAACGCCGCATTTTCGAGGCTCGTGTGAGAGCTTTAAGGATTGGCAAAGAGTTCCGCAAAACAGATGCCCAACAAGCGTGCAAGATTGATGTCAACAAAGCGAGCAAGTTGTGGACTGCTTATGATCGTGTCGGCTGGTTCGATTCGGAACACTTTCAACAGTATTTAGAGTGACCTTAGCAATTGGTGGTTTTTTATTGGTCGAGAATACTCATACCTTGCTATGTTGTCATTAGTGTTAGTTTTAGCTTTATTCTGTGGGAGTTGGACTTGGACCTGGTTACTTAATAGCTCATCGATGATTATAGCCCCTGCTGTACTTCAGTCTGCTTGAAATGGGGCAAGTTCTTTCTCTTCCAGATCAGAATGTAGCCTCTTTCTGCATCTTGACTCTTTGCTTTATGAGGGCTGCACGGCTGGACTGTACATTTAATCCCTTATCAGTTCTAAGTTCAGATAGAAAGTCTCCACATATGTCATTTGCTGATTCCTTTTTTACTTTCCGACTAGCTAATAATCCGTAACTTTGGTACAGCTTGGTTAAGGCGCTCTCTTTCGGCAATCCCAGCATGCTTGATTTTCGACAGGCTGTTATTTGACTGTCAACCTACGGTCCTACCTTAAAAGGCTGCCAGCATGTCTCGTCGAGATTATCTGTTATAGGGTTTTACTGGAGGTATGATTTTCTATTAATAGTTTCAGTATTCAGTTATAGCCTGCGCAAGTTGCCAGAAGTTAGCCTGCAAAGGTGTACTTGATTAATGCGGAAACTACTGACAGGTCACAGATCAATCTATAGGATATCAATCGATAATTTTCCTATAGAGTTTCTAAATGGACATAGATTGAGATTTACACCGTCCATCAACCTGGCTGGACTAGTGTAATAGATTCCAACCATAGTAATACGGTCTTTGGAACCTATGAGCTGCCCCTGAGGTTAATACATAAAATCCCAGACAAAGATCTGAAATAACCTTAAGTAGTTGCATTTTAAGGTAGTCGTCCAGTAGTATGTAAGTCAGATGTTCAGAGAATCTAGAGTAGAAGTGGAAGACACTAAGGTAGGCATTCGAGTCCATGGAAAGTATCATAACATATGATTCGAGGACGCCACCCGAATGGTCCCTTTACTTCCTTATTAGTATTACTTTCTTATCTAACTAACCACTGAACAACTCTTAACGGTTTAGACCGACCAGAACCTCTTCACATTCAATCCCCATTGAAATTCATTTAGAAATTCATTATATCGATATGTCTAATGTGGAAACCCCCCAAACAGGGTCTCTCAAAGATCAGGCGCGTGGGGGGCAGACTGACAGCGATAAGAAGTCAAAGTCTAGGAGACCTGCTAGTATGTTGCCCCCTCGGTCATTAAGAAATCTTCATGGATACCTCTTGTCCTCAATACTCACAGCCCAACAACAGACACTGCTTTCAGACAACAGCGCTTAAAAGCCTGGCAGTAAGATCTATCCTATATTGTCGATTATACTTAAATTTGCTAACCCTTCGACACCATAGACCAATTCTCACGCCGCGAAGCGTTCTGCCCATCTTCTTTGTATTCGGCGTCATATTTGCACCGATCGGTGGCCTTCTCTTATGGGCAAGCTCCCAAGTATGTATTGCGGATTCAAAATATTCATGAGCATTGCATCTGACAGCGCAATGATAAGGTCCAAGAGATATCTATAGATTATTCAGAATGCGCGGAAAAGGCCCCTTCTTACCCTGTCTCGATTGCAGACCGTGTTAAGTCATCGTTCAAGTCTTCGACTGGACAGTCTACCCCGACATGGGAGCGTCGTATAGAGAACGGGACTACCATTTGTCGACTGAGTTTCGAAGTACCGGACGATTTAGGGCCTCCCGTATTTCTGTACTATCGTCTTACCAACTTTTACCAGAACCATCGGCGATACGTGAAGTCACTGGATATAGATCAGTTGAAAGGCAAAGCTGTTGACAATAAGACCATCGATGGTGGCTCATGTGATCCCCTTAAACTCGATCCTACTGGAAAGGCTTATTACCCGTGCGGACTCATTGCGAACTCCCAATTCAATGACACAATACACAGCCCTGAACTCCTCAGTGACTTGAACCCAACGGTGTACTTCATGACTAACAAGGGCATCGCCTGGGATAGTGATAAGGAACTTATTAAAACCACACAATACAAACCATGGGAGGTTGTGCCACCACCGAATTGGCACGACCGTTACCCAAACGGGTATATTGACGGTATACCCGACCTTCACGAGGATGAAGACTTCATGGTGTGGATGAGGACCGCTGCTCTACCGGCTTTCAGCAAACTGTCCCGCAGAAATGACAACGTGTCTATGAAAGCTGGCTCTTATCGCCTGGATATTGAAGATCGTTCGTCCGCGCTATGCAATATACCTTACCGCTGGCTAATTGGACTCTAGGGTTTCCTGTCACTGAGTATGGTGGCACCAAGTCAATTCTCATCTCCACCAGAACTGTCATTGGGGGACAAAATCCTTTCATGGGTATAGCTTATGTCGTCGTTGGCGGTATTTGCGTCCTTCTTGGGGCTCTATTTACCCTTGCCCACCTAGTACGACCAAGGTATGTGTTATTGATCCCCTGCTCAACAACTACTGAAGCTTACTGTGGGTAGGAAACTCGGCGATCACACTTACTTGACCTGGAATAACGAACAGGAAAGCACAATCATTGCTACGGGCAGGAATGACAGATTTGGACCGCATGCCCATTGATACGGGCTCAACCCGCAAATTGCCCCTTTCAGTGCGTTACGATATTGTGTGTACCTTTTCTTTGCTTCTGCCATTACTGCTTTTCATGGTGTTCACATGGTTATCGGGACGAATTTCACTGCTATTGCTCTAAACATTACAGTATGTGGTAATCTTCCTTTTACAAGATGTTGATTCTGAGACTGTTTCCCGAATAGGCATGATTCCTCCATTGGTGAATATAACAATTTTGAGAATGCGCACAATTCAGGCTGGAGTTTCTCCACTTGTCCCTTATCAGGCACTTCCTGTCAGAGCTGACATTCCTGTCTTGGGGTAATCGACACCAAACATTCCAGTTTCCAATAGCAACAAGATGTACTTTATAAATTCCAGACAGCCTTCAGAGGTTGAAGCCAAGATGCTCGGCGACAAGTTTCCTTCAACATGATATTGCCTTCCATTTCCCGCATTTATATCTTGCTTATTATAAGTCTCATGTCGAACCGCCGAACGCGGTGTCATGCGACGGCTTTACAGGGCCGTTCTCTGTGTGCCACTGGTGGTCCAGATGCTGCATTGAGGGCCGAACATGAGAGACTGGGCGCGTTCGAATCCCATCCGGATAGGATACCTTACGACATGCGAAGAGCCTTGGAGCCCATTGAGATAGAGACGTGGTTTCACATAGTGAGTGGCGAAACTGATGCAGATTTAGTAACAGACGAGATGGTCACGCTTCAGGTCAGTTTACATTTATCGGAGACGGCCGCGTCGCGATTACTCTTCAGCTAGTTGACAATCTCGAAGTTACAGTCTTTGCAAAAAGCCTATGAAAACGCTGCAATATCTTATCGGTTAATGGGCGTCACGCGTCATGTTAATAAAACTTGGGCGCGCAATGGGGATGACTCGGCAATGAAGAAAGCACTTCGCAAGGGAGGTTACAGCACGTTAAATGTCTACTTTCAGACCGATCTACAGCCGCCCTCCACAACAGACTTTCCGAGATGGACCTCTGAAGGGGACAATCGTCAGGCATATAATTCGGACTCTGCCTCCCCTAGCGTCCTTGGTTTCTGCACTCTTCCGGATCCAAGCATTAATGCCAGCAGCCCTCAAGTCAGCTATTCCAAAGATGGCTGCAATGTGCTGGCTAAGACTATGCCCGGTGGCCCCATAACTCATTACAATCGGGGTGGTACTGCAATACACGAAATTGGCCACTGGAATGGTCTCTTACATACTTTTGAAGGGGAGTCGTGTTCGAAAGAAAATGCTGGTGATTACATTGCGGACACACCGCAGCAGTCGGTGCCCACTGACGGGTGCCCTTTTCAGAAGGATTCATGCCCGGATAGCCCTGGCTTTGACGCCATACATAATTTCATGGACTATTCATCCGATGACTGCTATGCTTCCTTTACATCGAATCAGCTGAAGAGAATGCGAGACATGTGGTTCTCCATGAGAAAAGGAAAATAACATCTGGCCAGGGACAAATTTCTGATTATCTATTTTCTGGTGCGCAATATTGTTTGTAAACAGTCCTTGGAGACATCGCACTCTGACCAACATGCGAAATCTTACAATGTTACATTTCCATGTTATCGCCCTTTCAACTAGGGGATCTCTCATGATCATTCAAATTTGCTGTCGAAGCCCATGGTTACCCAGCGCAAGATACTGTAACTAGAGCTAGTTGAGAACGAGATTAGCCCTTATTTCTCTACCCATATCCACTGTCAAAGCAAGGCCGATAGCCCTATTCGTAAGATTCCGTTGAGCAAATACCATGACCATTATCATCGAAGGTAATCGAGATGAAAGAGTAGTCGATGGAAGTCCAATCGACGAAACTCAAAAGTATTAGAGAAGAAGTCACATAAAGCATACTACCGTTTTCGCTTCTTGCCATGTTCATCATCATCCAAACCGCCTTCCCTGTCCTTCTTCTTAGCTTTCCTTTCGAGTTCATCCCAATCTTCACCACTCTCTTCTTCTGCGCTGAAATCACTTGCCTCAGCGCTAGCATCGTCGTCAAATTCGCTATCGTCCTCGGAACTCTCGTCTGCCGCCGCCAATTCCGACTCGGAGAGCTCAAATGCAGACTCCTCCTCCTCTTCCGATCCGTCCTCTGAATCGGACTCTGCGGCTAAGAAGGACCAACCTCCATCCGCAAAGAAACCGTAAGGATCACTCACAACCGTTTTCATGATGGTTGTCCAGTTGAGGTTTAGAGGTCCCTCAGTGAAAGCAATATCGACGGAATCCAGCCAGTCTTTCACGCCTTCCAAGGACTCCACCGGGATCGTGTTTATATGAACAGGGGCCCTGTGGAAGTCCTTGAAAACAAAGACTAGGTCAAAGTTTTTGAGACCAAACTACAAAATCATCAGCAAACAATAACATTAACCATAGCAGTAGTAGCACCTTACCTGCACTCTCTCGAGATGGGCAATCTCAATCTCATTCAGGGTGATGACTAGGAAGGGGGGTTCCGTCAATTGCACAAGGGCGTCAGTGGTTGGTTGTATCAGAACATTGGAGCGGTTGGGGACGCCAGTGAAACCGATCTCTCGGAATGGTATGTCGACATCAACGCCCTCGTCTTTCCCGGCATCAGCTATCTTCTCAGCGAAGGCCTTAAATTCTCTGTCCAATGCTGCTCTGCGTCGCCTTTCCTCTTGTTCAGCTTCGAATTCCTCTTCATCTCCATAGCGATGTTTGCGTCTGCGATTGCCAGTCTCGTCAAATTGCATCTCGGTGGCCTCTCGGTAAAATTGCACATCTCTCGTTTTCCTCTTCCCAATCATGATAGGCGTTTTGAGATGGACGTGAATGAGGACAATCAGCTCGTGAGCACACGGCTGGAAGAATAAATGTTTGACGTTGCTGAAGAGCACGTCGACGTGTTCATTCCGGAACGGAGACATGTATCGAAGACCGTTCTGATGTATCTCGACCTCACCCGGAACGCGCTTCCCATCCAAAGGAGGTCGAAGGTAGACGTCAGGTAACTTTACAGGGCGGCGGTCTATGAGTGATTAGCATTGGCAACTGGGTTGGGTGGTGCAAGGACGTACTTCGGATCTCAATGAGCTTGTCTTGCTCTACAACATCTTCCATCTCCTTCTTTTCTTGCTCCCGCCTCAAAGCATTTTTCCTCAATTCAGTGATATCCTGGGCAACTTGAGCTAGCCTCTCGTTGTCCTTAGAACGAAGAGTAAGATTTCGTAGAAAATGTGCCGACAGATCCTCGAAAGGCTGGTCATCCTTCCTTCCAACTCCCTGGCCCGGGGAAAGAAAATTGATGCGGAGGTACGCATATTCGCCTTCGTCGCTTTTACTTGCATTCTTGATTGTGTTGATATGGAACGGGACTGGTCGACCCATTATGGGAACTATTACTGTAGATGCTTTTTGGTCAACATATACCGTGAGGTCTCTCACCTTTGTTGGCAATTGATTGTCCCTCTTGTACGATTCGAACCGTTTGAATTTTTTCTGCGTAACGCCATTGTCGTCTCCGGTAGTTCCAGCAAATCGATCAAGGCCCTCCTTTGTCTTTTTAGTGGCCAGCTCCTTTTGGTGCTCGCGGCGACGCGCCTCAGCACCTTCATTTATTTGAGTTGGCCGTTCCGCTCGAAGCTTCGTTCTTGTGATGTTCCTGCTGGCGATAGCACCTGATTTCGCTTCCTTTTTCTCCTTGATGGGTTTTTGAGGTTCCTCTTCGTCACCAAAGTAGAATGATACGGAGTCCATGTCAAGGCCTGCATCCTTGGTGAACACATGTGGCCCATTTTCTCCCACACGAACGGTGTCTGTGATGACCATAGAGTAAGTTGAACTCTTGCTTCCTTTCAATTCCGGGTCTTCGACGTCTGTTAGTCCCACTGTGATAGAAAGAGTCATGCCGCTCTTCAGTGTTCTGCTGTTTTTCCCATTTAGCAGCATGTTAGGGTCTCGAAGCTCGATTCCGATACCAGCACCGACGCTCTTGACGAAGTGGGACTCAAGCTCAGGTTTCTTCGTTCGGATTAGATTGATCGCCTTGTTGTATAGATCTTTGGCAATTGTGCCGTCGCGGACATCTCTCATAACCGATTCATGTAATGCCAGAAGAAAGGCATAGTTTGTCTCTTGAGACTTACTCGGATCCACTAAGTAGGTCCGTGCAATCATTGAACTGTAGGTCTTATACCGTATCCCGAATCCAGCGATAATAATGCCCGGTTCGAGATTGCTGTTATCAGACACTGCTGTGAGTCTAAGGTCATACTTTCCTCCGCTTTGAATGACGGGACCATAGGCCCAGTCAATCTGTTGAGCATCAAACTCGGCCGGTAGTTTGCCCAGCTTGTTGAAAAATTTAGCATCGTCGATTTTTGCATCGACCCGCGCGGAAAGAGCCTTATGAGTCATTTGCTTTTCTTCGTCGAGAAGGCGTGACATTTCCTCCACAAAGTATTCAGACATCAAGCCACTGCAAGCTCGTGAAGCATTTCTTATGGACACCTGTACAATATTAGTTAATCGTCCTTCCCAGGTTTCCCGAACAGCAAGCTCCTTTTCAACGCACCAACTCGTCGGTATCTTTCACTGCAAAGGCAGCCGACAGAGCCGGCGAAATGTCAACTTCCTCTATTTCGCCAGATAATGTCGCAAAAGTGCGCTTCCAGTCTTCCGCGAAGGGACCTGCAGTTGTGTCCTTCGGTAAAACACCGACTTTATTCTGCATACCGATGAAATTAGTTCCAAGTAACAAGACAAGGCAATGTCACTTGATAGAGCACTTACACCAGCGCTTCTGATGACTTCAATGCATTTCTCGAAAGACCTCAATTTTCCTTCAGGATCCTTTGTTGTAACCAGTATTTCAACTGGGATCTTGCCCCCCCTCAGCGGCTCAAGATGCTTGGCTGAGTGGACACCGTTTATTCAGCAAAAGCCCCTGTATTTCGGACGTAAAGATTTACCTTTCTTCGCAGTTGTCACAACATAAACAGCTTCCAACGTAAAGACGAGAAGCGTGGCTGGAAACTCATAACCTAGCAACCAGAACTAGCAGTCAACCGACCATTATGTTAGCGTCGCCAAAAAAAACCAAATGTAGCGGCAGTGATTAAACATACATGCATAGCGTTATTCTTCTGAAAAGTATTCGCCTCGTCAGTTTTGCCCATCAAGATAGCAATCGAGCCAACACCACCGAATGTGGGGTGACTTGAACGTTTGTCCGCTCTCCATGCCGCGTAGAAGCTTGACAACCGATTGAAAAACAAAGACTTATCTATCACAATCTCTTCAGCCATGATCTGATGGCGTCGAAAGTGTGATTGTCGTGCAGGGTGTGCTGAGCCTGCCTGAAGAACTAGAATTGCACAAGGCTCGTCAAGCTTCTCTGATCGCCTTAATCTGAGCTAGGTAACGCGAATATGGTGAACACAAAAGTTCGAGGATGTGATGGTGCACAGAACTATGTAAGGACGGAGAATAGTGAAGTCTGAAAGAGTACTCACGCGAGGCTGGTGCTACGCGTTTTACTATGTTTGAGCAGTTTGCATCATTTGCATGGTATGCTAACTCTCAATTGGACTCTTGGTACGGAGAACAATAAATAATATTCAAAATACCCAACATATATATTACTTTTATGGAACTAGAGAGTTGCATTTCAGATTCACAGCACTACAAGATACACAGATATATGTTCCGGACCTTTTTACTTATTATCATGCCTACCCAGGTACTATACCTCCTTTCATAGAAAGGACATCCAAGGTAACCTCAATGTTTGTCTACTTACCTTATCCTTCATTTCGATTATTTTCACATCTTCCGCTATCTCTCTATAGGCGAGGATTGGTAAAATATCTGGATAGGCAACTGATAACTATCCTCTCCGCAAACTCTTGTGATCTGAATGCATATACGTCCCGATGGAGAAGGGCGCACTAAGTCATCCGCATAATGTCATCTGAGGATACCATTTCCCTTGGGGATCAAGTACGCTTCGACGACAATGTCTCTGGCGCAGAATCCAGCAAGTCTACTCGAAGAAATCCTCGGAATGATGCAGCCACTGGTGCTTCGGCAGCTGGTGTTCGTGCAGTCAGTGCGCAGATGGTTGCTTTCTACTTCAGAGCTCCCGTCAAGGCCTTTTTTCGCACTCGGGTTGAGTATGCACTCCTCCCTTTCGCTACTCAGACTGAGATTTGTTGACACACGTCCAGTTATTTGGTCCGTATACCAGTCGAAATCCTGGCTTCTTTTCTCCGAATTTATTAGGACTCATATACTCGTTCTGCCCAACATGAGCTAATGATGTTCCACTCGAAACGTTCCTGTTAGGCGTTCGCAAGAGCTGTCAACCCTCATTCCACTGCAAAGCGTTGGTCATTACATACAACGACACCCGGTCTTCTCGTCCATGCCGTTCGTACTTATGGTTGGCGGTTCATCCCCAATCAGCTTTTACCCCC